GTCAAAAAATTCTATTGATAACAACATTGGATCACCTGACATCAGTTCGGCTTCCAAAGCATATGCTCCAAGTCACACTAAAGCTTTTTTTTTTGAAAATCTCACCTACATATTTAGTGCCTACATTCGACCATAAAGCCAAGAATTGCAAAGACAGAATTTCTATTAACCTCGGTATTGGTGAAATGTTACATTGTACTCTTATTATACCTTTACTTCGAGTGCTTTATTAAGACCACGCTCAAATTTTAATAGATCCTTTCATTATTATTTGAGCCAACTTGTCATGTGATTCGGTAAGGGCTCTTGTACAGCCCGATACACGTGTTTCATCCATACAGACTCGTCAGTCGGGCAGAACCGGTCGTCTTTCAATAAAGCACTTGAAATAAAGGTATAATATGATACAAATACCAGCCAAAGAGCAATCGAGTGAGCAAATACTCTGTGATAAGTGAAAACTTCGCTTGACATAGAGTGTAAATTGTTCGTCTTTGTTGACTCTCTCTAAGGGAGCAGAGCTCCCGAGAGACTGACTATAAGAATATCAAAAGATGACGAGATCTGCCCGACTGACGAGTCTGTAAGGACGAAACACGTGTATCGGGGTGTACAAGAGCCCTTACCAGACTACATGACAAGTCGGCTCAAATAATAATGAGAGCATCATTGTTCTCTTAATAAACAGACGCGAGGTCGTTAACGCATAAGGGACGCCTATAGAAATCGATTCGCGCTGCGTGAATTGCGCAGCTGTACGCGATTTTCGTTGTTTGATTGAAGTTCTATTCTCTGCCTTGTAATAATTTTTAGCTTCTCCGTGAGAAGACGTAAGTGCAATAAGACTTGTGATCCAATGGAATCCATAATCCATCTGTAGAACAGAGAGCTGCAAATCCAGAACTATTCGAAGGACATGGCTAACAATAAGAACCGCTACCGCTAATTGCCTTAACGCTTACGAAACCGTGGGTCCACTTTCTCTCCATCAGTAACCACGAGCGTGCACTGTGTTCCCACTCTGATGGTCAGAGATGCGGAGGATGTGGGCTCACGGTCCCGGAAAGGTTAACGACTTATGAATGTGGGTCTCTTTTTCGCGATGTCACTCTTTGAATAACCAAGTAAAGACTAAGAAAATATGTAAGTAAAGTAGTTTGAAGTAGGAACAAAGATAACTGGAGAGTAGATGAACTTCTGCTAGTAATTATGCAGTAATCCTCTGAAAAAAACTCAATGCTTCCCACAACTGGCTTCAGTAACACAATGGGTGTCGAACGTGCACACCAGCTGTTGCTGCTGTTCCTTCTCCCAAACGAAATAGAAGAAACGTTTCTTGACAAATCTATAATCACCATTTGAGGAAACTGCGATCAGTACATCGGTAATTCAATAACCAGAACAGTAGGCGACAGAATGAATGTGGCGATGAGTATTCGTTCCTTTTAGCACATTTAGAATAGAGACGAAAAAAAATTCCAGTAATGCTAGATGGCACTGAAAGTATGGATGTCTAGCAATTCGTGCCTCACTCTTTCCAAAATGCGTGCTAACCACTACTCACTAGAGCTGTGTACTTCTTCGCAACACCGACTGCACATTTGCTTTTGTGTGCGAAAAATCAGCCCCTGAAGAAATACGTTGGAAGAAATATGTCTAAGACCTTCAATTTTTAGTTTAGCTTGAGATAAGAATACAGTGCGAATATAGTACACAGCGTCTGAGCAAACTGAGAACTGCTTTTATAGAAATCATCCATTAATACTGAACGATACCTAGAGAAAGACTATTCCAATAAACAACATAAACAAAGCAAAAACCTTTGAAGAAGACCCATAAGACAAAAGAACATTTCAAAATATATAAACATCCGGATAATCTACATGCTTACCAGGATAGCCGTGCGATCCAACGAAATGTAGTGAAAAAAGGTGTCATTAACACCAAAAATCATAGCAAAGACACTCTTACCATGTAAGCATAATTTATGCCTATCATCTTATAAAACCTCGTCACAAGTTATCAGTGAAACTACGAAAGACTGCCATAAACTTAGAACCATTAAGCAAACCTCAATGTAGATTTTTCTACGATAAAAATCAATGTAGATTTCTCAACGATTCATATTAACAAAAAAAAACCATGAGTTAATATAAGTATAACACCAGTAGTTTTTTTTACTTATTACAAGACTCTTGAAGATAGCAATAAATACCTTCGACAAGAACACTGGAAAAGTATTATCAGAAAGCTTATAGCCTCTCTAATATTATTAATTGTAATACTCACAGTTTGAAAGCGTATGTGGCGCAGTGGGTAGCGGTGCTCTGCGTCGCACACGAGGTCAACGGTTCGATCTCGCGCTCATGGCTTACCAAGTCATCCATCCCTCCGGGGTCGGTAAATTGGTACCAGGCTGCTCTCAAACTTGTCAGGGACGATAAGCGTCACTGACTTGGTAGAGCGGGAGGCCACGGCGATTCATTATAACGGCCAGATATGCATTCAATCACCTCAAACGAAGTTGAAAATTAAAGTCGAAGGCATGGCGCATCCCTTAGGGATTGATCAATGCCGAGAGCTTTATCTTTTCATTTTGATACTCATGATTTGCAATGTTTTATTGCATTTTTTCGCAGTGGCACGATATTTCCAGTACCATGTAAGGGAATTTGAAGCGACTGTTGAAATGCGATGATCACCCGAGACATGAGCCTGCTCGTATCCGTTTGCTTATCGTCGTTACACACAACTCGAATTTACATATTATGACCCCACAAAGCTTGGAATGGTCCTGTTCATTACAATATAGTCAGCTAAATACCTCCATGACTCTGTCAAGAAAGCTCAAAATTACGAATTTGATATCTAAACAAGTTGTTTTCATACAGTCACTGCTTCCTATTGAGTGTTCCACTTGAGTACACAGCAAAAAGCTCACAGAGAGGAGTACTGTTCACTTTCACGTTGAAATATCTTTTGTTCGCTCATCAGCATACCGTCATAGTTTTTCTAGGCCTACGTCCACGCCATATAGTCGCGAATCTGGTGTAGAATCAAAGTAAACTGCGACATCTACTGGTTACTGTAGAAATGTATGCATACAGAGGAGTTAAATTTCATGGTGAATGTGTGCACGCCTGTTTGTACGTTCATTTGAACTACACATGAACACATGTGATAGCGAGGAATAACAAACTCACGAAGCAGTTTACATTGTTTAGTACTATTTACAGAGTGTATTCACATCAGGGAGTGTCATACTTCTTCAAGGAAGCTTCGAAAAGTATTGCCATGATACGGATGACGAAGATTTATCATTTAGACAAATTCGCGTAAAGGTGAAAACTGACTTAAATGTGAGTCATGCATGAGTCATATTTTTCTTAGTAATCCTATTTCTTCTGGGCTTTTGGTGTACACGAAAGTGATTTCTATGGACGGATTGACATCGACTCGGGTAAGTCGTACCTTTTTCCACTGACACTCGATCTAAACTATGCGGTCTGGGATAGGAAGTTAGCTCTGAATCCACCAATATTGACACAAAAAATCCCCATTTATTTGCTATTTTAGCAGTGAAATGGTGTCATATCTATGTCTATGAATCCACTGATATTCAGTGAATACGCATAACTTTAAACCTCGGACCGGCGTCGAACTGGCATTTCACCCATCCCAGGAGCGCTTACTAACCAGCTGCGTTACTGTGGCTTCTATTCTGCTAACACTCTTTGTTCGATACAGAATATTGCCCCGGAAGGGTGAAACGCAGGGTTCGATCCTAGTCCCAAGTTAAAAAATTTGCATGACACTCAAAATTTCTGGACTTTGTTATTTACACTATCTTCTCCACTAAACCTATATGGAATTATTCTATTGAAATTCGGAAGAAGCAATGAAAATTTGTTCAAAAGTAAGTACGAAGTCGGAGAGGTTCATTTCAATAAGGAATAAATCATAAGCTATTATCTTCAAAGACTTCAAGCTAACAAGGTTTTGCTCCTCGTCGGTCGGCTACTTGAATTTTCTCACGGAATCTGATCCTCTCAAGATAAAATCTAACAAAAAATCATTCTCGAAAGTCATTCAGCAGTGATAGCAGCAATGTGCAGATGACATTTTTTCTGCAGGAGTAGGATTATAAGCTCCTTTATTTGAGTAGAAGCGCTTTTATCTGTTCAGATTCGATTGCGATGTGAACAAATTATATCGTTTGTGGGCAAATTGCGGCTTTTCAAGATTGATATGGGAGTTAGAAGTTAGATCTAGAGGTCTCTATGCTTCGATTTTTGTGAAGAACATGACCGATCGGTCGTCCTTTTGGGACCATGTGCTACAAAAGGTAGCACGCCGTGCGACTTTCCGCTCCATTCAACTACTGTTATAGCGGCTTCACGTCTCGTAGGAAGGCAGGCAGGCAGGCAGTAAACAAGGAGTGTTTAGGTGATCAGATATGACAGTACGATCGCCTCTGAGATTCAATGGAGCTTTGAAAGCCGTGTGCGATGGACTTTCTGAATCTTACATGGAATGGGTATTACTCTTCAATACCTTCATGCAAAAAAGATGCTTTTCAATTCATTGTATTTCTTAACCAATTGACTTCCCGATAAGTCGCCGACTGCAGCACTAATCTTCGCTGCAAAACCCGCAGCTAAGTTTTGAACTAGTTCGCGTGCGGTCATGTCACGAAAACTAGCACTGCAGTTTGCGTATAATCGGGGCGGAGAGGTAGAGCCGGACACGCTCGGTGTGGGTCCATGGAAGTCGACCGGCCGATCCTAAGGTATGACGTGTGGCTACCTACACAATGATGTGAAGTGATATGTAAATCTCAGAACGTCAGGCAGGAATTGAACCCGTGTCCCACGTTTTGCGAGGGTGGGTGCTAGCCACTACACTATCGCGGCTCCCTGTTTTGCTATTACTCTTCAATTAGGCGTGCTTCATTGATCACATATCGGCGATAAATTCAGTTGATAAGCGATAGAAAGATAGGGGCGTGGTAATGCAGTGGTTAGCACGTACTCCCGCAAAGTGTGAGACACGGGTTCAGCTCCCGCTTGGTGCTCCAAGATTTGCATATCGTCAATTGGCACAATTGAATATGTATCAATTATTTACACAATGTCTATACGTACAAATATACCCAAGAAATCGAGTGTTTGAGAGAAAGTTCGACCTCAGACGGGAATAGGTATGACAACGATGTACGCGAAAAATGAATAGTGGGCAGGCGATGGCCTCGGTGGTGTAGTGGTAGCACGCGCATCCTGTATGAATGAAACACGGGTTCAACTCCCGGCTGAGGTAGGATTTTCGCCCATCACTCAGTTCTCTTATGTATATTTGAAACATCATGAAACTGCGAAAAAACAATAAAATGTTACATTTCAATCTTCTTTATCAACTTACTATGGTGGTTGTCAATAGCAAAAAAATATAAAAAGTAAATAGTTACATCAACTTCTAAATAGCATTTTCAAAGCGTTTTTCGTCATACATCTTACTACCATGCTGGGCGTCGTTATTTGGCTTACACATGTATCGTAGTATCGCATGTTTTTTGTTTTGATTCAACACAAATATTCGATTCCGAAGATTCTGTATCGATATTTGATCAATTTCGGATTAATATGTGCCTCCATATTTCTCTTAGCTAACCAACCCTCTTGTTGAAATACTACGAGAATGTCAATGAGAATACGCCATATTGAGTTTTCCCTTACAAGTAGTTCAGCACGTGTTTTTGGTTGGAAACTGGTGCTCTTTCGGTGAGTTACATCCTCTTAATATTGGATAAATGAGCGTGTAACGCAGCGGTTCGAGGTGCTCTTCACTGCACGCAAAGTCGATGTCTCTAGCCCTCCCAAGGGTCATCAAGCCTTCGCTCCCTCCGGGTAGGTGAATTAGCACCAAACTCGTCTAACAGTATAGAGTGACTTGATGCGTCGGCAGGCCACTGCGAGTTTTTTTACATGCCAGATAGACATTGAATACATCCAACGATTCCTGATGAATTTGAATATAAGGCACATCCCTTAGGGATTATCAACACCGAGAGCTTATTCTTTAGCTTTATCACTGGAATACAAGCTTAGAAACTTCCCAGTGTCCAAACATATTCGGAAGAGGCAACAGTTCTATCCTTCATTATGGACATGCGAACGGGTATAACGAAAAACAGGTCGAAGACTGTGATATGTGCATGTTCAATATGAGACTAGAATATAATTGCTATAATAAGTATATACTTACAGATTGCGCTTATTTTTTAGATAAATGATTAAAAACTAATATAAATATAATATAAAAAGTAATATAAATAGAATTAAAAATAAAAAATAAAAAAATAAGAAATGATTCAATTGTAATAAAATCATAATTTTACCTACTATATGTTCTTCTCTTTGAAAAGTTCATCTCTCTAGAGCCTCTGATATCACCAGATCGCTCCCGGCAAATGGAAACTTCATCGATAGGCAGAAAATCGTCCACAGCACAGTCCCTGATGCGAACCAAGCGGTTTTCACGTCAGTCTCCTTTCATTCATAATCTGTTAAGAAGTTTGCACTCTTCATGATTTGAGGTGCTCGATGGAGTGACATGCATATTCTTGCCGAGCTGGTACATTCACACATCCTAAGGAAGCAGGACTTGTCAAAGGTTCGTTGCTAAAATGCACCAAACGAATTTTAGAGAGCCTGCACGAAGGCCATGGTCTTCCCGATATTTCTAGTCTTCGCTCGGCACTTTTTCAATCGACACTTTTTTCTGAGATAGATCTTTCTCAAGTGACATTGACAAGATGATACAAGCTAGAGTGGGAGCCGTATTCATGCCTCATGGTTTAGTACACTTTTTTGAGTTGATGTTCGCGATTGTGGTAGCTATCTAGGGATATGTGAAATACTTCCATAACTGATTATGTGCCAATCGTTACAGAAATTTGACAGGATGCCCTGCCTTGATCGAAGCCTCCTGGTCTAAAGAGCTTGCGCACAACAGGAACATTACAGGAAAGAATGGTACTGACCTTTGCACTTGTCTGCGAGGAATTCGCTTCGTGATATTATTCAAATTCTGTGACTAGAACAAGCGAAATTCCTCGTCAAATCAGAAATCGACAAATATCGTAGACAATGTGGAGTAGGTCCTCAACCAGAATCCTGTCTACTATAGTTTCCTCATAAACGATTATGTTATTCAGGTCCGAATCGAGGACGATGTGATGATATGGGTCAAAAGCGACGAAAATATGAGTGATCTTCCAAGAGCTGTAGAAGAAAGTGATTAGTGCAAGTCAAGTGGAGAATTCAACGACTTCACTGTACAAAAGAGCATCAGTCCTTACTCAAACAAAAGTTGGCTTCCATTTATTTCCTTACATCCATGATCATATATTATATTTATTTCCAGTTCTATAGTAAATACTACCCGGTAATTTTTTCTATTTTTTGAAGCTTTCCAGTGCCTCGATATTAAGTCATCGCTTCAATAAATATCCTTCCAAACATTACTCAACAGCAACAAAAACAGAAGGGTAACGACTCCTTTGAGGTTACACGTCGTCTAGAATATATGGTTCACGGGGCCACGCTCTTTGACAGCGACTTGTGTCATCATTGAATCTATGTGATCACCAACTACAAACGCCCAACTACACACGTCTAATTTACTTGAAGGCCATACTTTGTTAGTGAGTGTAGTAGTTCAGTAGAGAATTTCCTGTCATATGCTATGTCTTGGTACACCTGACACGCGGATTAATTTATCAGAAATAACAGCAAAAATAAATCGCTTAATGAAAACTAAAATAAAGAATATTTACGTATAAGACATTCATATCCGCGAACCAATCCAATTGGCGGTTCAAAGGGCATATTACGTGACGATCGTTAAATCAATACACTGTAGTAGCTCGACTAGTAACCTTCGTAAGTATGTAGTACGTTAATGTCGTAAGTATTAGAAGTATGTCAACGTGGGTCAAACACATGAGGACAAAGAGCGAGAACCAACTGTATTCAACTTAAAAGGTTTGCAAACGTCAATCAGGAGACGGGGGGCCAGGGAGGCTATCGTGGTCGCCTCGGAATGACGAAACCCCAGGGCGGTATTTCGGGTCGATGATGTGTGATTATCATAGTCATACAAGTCATAAAGTCTCACACTGTATGTTCGAGATCGTCCTAAAAGCCCGCTACCCATCACCGGGGAAGAGTCGCCCACGACCCCCACCACTGGACTCGTCTCCGTGACCTGGATTTGCAATTACAATCTTTAGTGCAACATAGAGCAGTCGACCATCAAGCAAAAGGGGTAAACAAAATAACGTCTTATGGACTCAGTCACTGATCAGCAATGAACCGGGCACATCGAGTCATAAACAACAATCGTAGGCGATCGATAATCTAAAAGGAGAAAGAAACAAATACGAAGAGGAAAGGTAACCAGTCGGCCGCATGGGCCAGTTGAAGGCGCTCGACTGTCGTCGTCGTCGGCCCTTTGCCTGCGTACCTCCGCTGCGTATCAGTCCTTTCGTAGCGCAACCTTCGCCACTCGTTTTCAAGTTTACCTTAACAATCGAGCACGTTATGCTACCACTTACATAGAAATATAATATAAAGATAGCAATGAATGTTGCATTGATTGCCATAGTGAATTTGGAACTTTACAAGAGTCTGAATTCAGTTGAAATTGTGTAGAATGTTTGATTTCAAAGCCTGCAAGCAATACAGTACTGTAGACGGGGCAAGGTGCAAGTGGTAAACACAAGTTTATTAGCAACACATTCTTTCACAAATGTTCCATTAATAAGCTGAAATATTCAAAAAAATATAAAGAAATTTAAAAAAAATGCACTATTAGCTTCTTTTGTGCAGCACGATAACTATAAAAGAAATGCCATAACATGGCAAACATAATGCGATCACGTGCCGCCTCTGTACTGTTCCTGGTAGACCTGGAATTGGAAGTAGATACCAATGGGAACTTACTGCACAGAACAATAGCAAGAAAGAAGAATAATACACACTTGTAGGTCCACCATTGAAAAAATGGTAAAGTTGTTCGTCTTTCATCAATCCTTGAGAAATGTCCCATGTATTGTGCACCACCACGTGTATTGAGATTAGTAAACACATATCCGGTAAACACACCCTCGTGTCCATCGGGCTTTCGATTCTTCGGGGTCATCAAATTGGTGAACAGACTTGGTTGGCATAACAAAAACATCAATTCAGTGCATTAATAAGCCACCCGAGTTCATTCTAATCACCAGATATGCATTCTGTCACTTCCACTATGATTGCTAGTGTCGAATGAACGGCGCATTCTTCAGGGGTTCATCAACGACGAACAGTTTATACGCCTTGAGTGTATGAAAAATTGCCTCGATCATGTCGTCATCTTCCATTTGGAGGCTTCCTGGAGTATCGTCATCGTTTAATTGACGACCATTGAATACGAATCTGCAAACAATCAATCACTAACTGTATCTGATGCCGAAGAAACCTATAAAGTTAGTTTTGTGGTACATTACATTGCAATTCGCACAAAAAACAAATACACTCGTATGTCAATCATCCGTTTTCTGCTTGTTACACTGAAGAGAAACGGTTTTTTTTTAAATGAGCACAGCTTTGGAATAGGGAAATCCTACGCTATCAAATGGTGACTAATAGTCTAAAGGAAGAGCGCTGTCTTGCGAGCAACATGCGTGTGGAAACGTAAATGTTCTACTTATGTTACAGCAGTATTTATAATGCTTTTTTGAAAGCAAACACATTTTTGAGTACCTCAAGACTTGAGCTATCGAAATATCGCTAGTGGTCTGAGGAAAGAGTTTTGCTCAGCAAAATATAAGCGAAAGTAAAAAAAGCAGACAGTGCGCGTGAAATATAATCATATTCTGGATACTACAGCGTCGAAAAAAGGCTTTTATGAAAAGGCTATGTAGTGCAATTGCCATTGATTTGTGCTTTCAAATGACTAATGAAGCTCCTATGAAAATCTCTTGTCCATCAAATGGGTCGTTTTTTCATTTGTCCCTGCACAACCGAAAATAAGCCG